GAAGTATTAACTTGTAAGCCTCCCTGTTTAGTACATGGTTTCTGCTTGTATTTTCATTGTAAAGGAAATTTCTCCCTGTGATATTAGTGGTGCATAAAGGGTTATCCATGCATCCTCTGAAACAAATATCTTTGTTTTAGATGGTGTACCTATACTCACACACGAAACTGAAGCTGGTTTTGCTTGTGATTTTGTTACAATTAGCTACTGGTATTGTTTCCCTTTCTATAGTGACGCTTTCAGTATGGAAAATATTCGGCACTTTACAGCTTCTTCTTTATAAGAACCACTGTTTGTTATCTGAGGTATATAGTAATTTCTAAAAAACTGCCAGAGAGTAAACACTCTGACTCCTGCCTTAACAACAGAGTTTGAGGTAGTGAAGATTTCATAATTATAGACTTAGTTATCAACATCAAAGGCTGCTGAATGGAGTTAAGTGAGAATGAATAACAAACACACTTATTAACCCTCGGCGCGCATGCGCAGCGAGGATTACGGTGTCTGTCTGTCTGTCTGTCTGTCTGTGTGTGTGTCTGTTACCACGTTTTCTTCCACCACGCGCAACAAACCGGCCAAAAAGCGACACCAACAGGTTCAGCGCTACACTGGCTACATTTTAAAAATGGCGATTTTCGTACCCCGCTCAAGAGTTATGGCGTGAAAAAGGCAATATGCTAATGAGTAGACCATCACCACTGCTTACCTCGACCGCTTTTGCCGTCAGGCACATTGCGGAGGATATAGCGACAATACCGAACACTCCCTACGGTTCCAGCTGGCAGCACGAGCATCGACGGGTGGTGAGCGAGCCGGTGGCCAGTGTGAGCGAGGAGGCAAAGGACCGGGAGAGAGCGAGACATGACAATGCGCATGTATTGCGCCACAAAGAACCGCGCGCGTGATGCATGACAATGCGTATTATGTGGTGCGCGACAAAGAACCGCGCGTGTGATATATTCGCGCGTGTGCGTGTAAGGCCTCTATATTATGCGCGTGTGTGTACGTACGGACGCAACATTGTCATTGAGCATGCGTATACCGACGTGCTTATGGTGGTCGAGGCGCTTGGCGGCTGGGCTCCTGGCTCCATATATATCTACAATCAGAAGAATAGGAAATTTCCTCGGGCAAAGAGTTAATTCTGTAGACCCGTCACACTCTACGAAACACCTGTTTGGTCGTCTCGCCATCGCTCTCTGGCGTGGGAATGCCACCTTGTGGCTTCGTCGGACTCCTTCTCTCGCACCATCTTCTGACGGTCTTCCTTAAATTTCTCCTTCTGTCGTACAATCTAAACGGTCGTTTTTCACAATATTTTTATTTTGTTTTTTCCCCCAAACTGCTGTGCATTATTAAAAAAAAACGTGCAATGCGTTTACTTACGCGTGTGCGTCACAGTGCGCCGAGGGTTTGCACTTCAGTGCTTTTCATTTTTAAGAGTAAGAATTTTTGCAAGCAATTAAATAATCATCACCATCATTTTGGGCCATGTAGCTATATGCAATGCTTGGGAGTCTTGCTGCACTCCGGGATGTCTCACGTAATACTGTCCGATTATCATTTTCAGATTTTGCCCAAAATCATGTTTACAGTATTTCTTCCTGGGTAATCAGGTCTGCTGGAATTTTGATAGGAAGTCAGGTCACATATTTCATCGGTGACCCCTGAAAAACGTGGGTAGTAGTATTCACTGAGGGTCTCCATTAATCAACCCACAAAATGGTGTGGATATGTGCTGAGTATTGAGAATATTAAGCAAAATTGAAACAAAACTGTAAGGATTTCTTCCATGTAGCTAACATTACATTAACTCTGATTTTAACCCAGCAGCAGAATCAAATTTTTACGCCTATTGGGCTGGTAGTGTGATTGGTCAATTTGTACATATCCTGGCCATTGCTCGTGCGTTGCTGTGGGGACTGCCAAGCTGTAGCTATCCTCTTTCAGACAATTTATATACTGTCACAATAAACTATCTGTGACGTATTTCCTATTATTATAACAGAAAGCTATTTCATCGGTCATGTACTTGACAAGTATATATTGGTTCTGGCATGGTGAATGGTGGTGTAATAATAAGCAGTGACAATGGCTCATCAGACAAACTTTTAATTGGTCACAACCTTGTGTTTAGTGGAGGATTTGTTACCACCTTATTTTGGGTATATTATTCTTTCTTTCTGTCTTGGACGATTTAACCCTGGTCTAAAGTATGGTAAGCTTTTCTATCGTGAAACAAGAGATGGTAATAAAGTAGCTACCCAAAAGTGCATGCAACTTGTTTGCTTTGCCTTTGCACCGTGTTTGCAAGGTAGCCGCAGGATATTAAAGTACACAATGTCCAGCTTATGCTGGTCATGTAATAATACTGTCTTAGCTTCCACTTATTTCCTGCCACTCCCTATGCAGGCTGCGCACCTTGCCTTTTGGCCATGGTATAAGAAGGAAAACACCAACAGAGACACAAATGACTTCTCAACCTGCTAACTTGACTATAGTAGCCAAAAACAACAGTTAGCTGTGCATGGACTGAAGATTAGTTAGGCATAGGAGAAAGCCGTTTGACTTAATGGGATGTGCACGCAAATCGAACACTTAAATTTGGGCATGTGGGGGTGGGGATCAGTCCCCCTAACCAATGACCTGAAAATGAGGCTATTCTGAAATGAAAGGTAGCTATCTCGTTCATGGCTTGTTATGGTTTTCACGTCACAACTTTAAAGTGCAGAAGAATCTCCATTAAGCCAGTCTAGCACTGTGCACATTGGTAGCTAGATGTCTCTTTATCACTGGTGTGTGGCGCATGGTGGCAAAAAAGAATGTAAAACACAGACAGATGGACACTCATACCGTAACCCTATGCATGTGAACCAATTGGTTTAATATCCCAACAGGTCTGTTGACTGCAATGTCAAATAGCTACTAAGAAGTACAAGCAGGTATTTTAGTGTCTTTGAAGACAACAAAACCAAAGGAGATGCTGGGAACAGAGAGGGAGGAGCCAGGAGAGTCTTCAGCTGGGACCAGGTGGGGCAAGTCCCTGTTGTCCACCAGCTCCAGCAGCACTCCATTCAGGAGGACTGAGGTGGAGGTGAGGTTCCCAGTTGGTGGACTCAGCCAGAACACATCTCTGTAACTGGAGGCCAGCTCCTCATTGAGGAGTTCCACTGTTGCCGTGGTGAAGTTTGTGTTCAGTAGCAACAGAACCACACTGCCTGCTGGGTACCTGGAGGAAGAAACACAATCATAAAAAGAGATACACATCTGCGTAAGTAATCTTACGGAGGTTTAGCACAGTGGGCATAGGATCTCAGGTTCCGTCCATAATCTAAACTGCCTTTTATGTAGAGAACTTTGGTTCCAACCAATTTCTTGTACAGCAGAGACAACCAGTAGTCCTTCAAAAGATTATACTTCATGTTCTAAGAACAATTGCAGTGACTACACAACCTACAGGTAATGGATTTTGATCTCCATCCAGTAATGAATAGCTCCCACCGATAAAATCCTGTCGAAACACTCGTTTGTGACCAACAACTGCTGCTACACCTAGCTTGTCTAGCCACCTGCACGAAGAGGAAACCAAGGTCAACATGCATAGATGTTATACACTCCTCATCATTACATAAATCCTGCCACATATGTATCTGATAAATGTGGAGCACCACCGTCATAGAAACTCGACGTCTCTCCCAGCCAGACATTAGCCTGTGGTTGCAGAGCCTCCGTGGTGTCTTGGAAGTCGATGGCGTCATGAATATAACTGTCTAGAAGGTTAACATCATAGCATTGTGCCAGCTTAGCTGTGTTTCCATTTCCATAGTACCTGTAGTTGACATAGGATAATTATAGGAAAAGGAAAACATAACAAGGGCTGGTATATAAGAGGTCCACATTAAAAAAATCCAGTGGTCTGTAACAATAGGACAGAGGACCATGATTTTAAATTCATGAAAGAGTTTATCCTATTGTGTTGGCCCCCAAAGCTATGACAAAATCACATCGTCATGTATTCACTGGTGGTAGGTAGTGGCACTAAGGACTCCTTCTGGTAAACTCTGTATAAACCTGCACAATACCAAAAATAGTTTTCGACATCACAAATTATATACATTATGACGTACTCTGTGAAGTAGTCCATTGAGTATGCTACATCAGGTCCGATGAGCATCTTCCCCACTGTCTTCTCCTCTGCCACCAGATCCCCCAGAGTCAAGAAGTCTTTGGCATGGTCCTCAGCTGGTATTGCTGTCCCCCACATATCTGGCTCTGCAAAAAGTAATATAATATTATCGCTGATTCTGTTTGTAACTACACCCACCAGTCGCGCACCATTTCCAAGCTCCCACTGCACGGTATAGTTTTTGGAGGTAGAGTATGAGAGAAGCATTCTGGCATTGTCAGAGTCCCAAGAGCCATTGGGGTAAGGTGTACGAAGGAGAGCATTCAGACCAAACACAAAGTCCCAGCCAACAGTCTCCACAAACTTGTTGACTTCATCCCACTGCTGCCGAGTCATCGTGAAGTTGGACAGCTGAACTGAAATATTGGTGCATGCACGCATGGCAACTTAAGATACTACGAATACCATAACCTTATATTCATTGGCGATTGCCACAAAGCACACATTTTTATCCTCTCCTATTCAGGCATAAAGGTGCACAGTGGTAAGTTTTCTAGGCAATGGAACTTCAAGAAAACCTCTTATCCCACAAAGGGCCATTTTTTGGCGGTTTGCTAATTGCAGTGCATGATGCTGTCCAGCTAATTGTACCCTACTCTCAGCTCAACAAGCTAGTGGCATGAGCTATGTACCTGCTTGTTCAGTAGAGGATTGAAGATAAGGAAATCTCCATCGGTACCGCCGACCCTAAGCATGGCAGGAGCCAGTCCTCCGGCCATGTTGATGATCCGCTGGGCAGTGAACGTTATTCCAGACCAGTTCCTGGAGATGTCGCCCGAGCCTATCGTAACTGAGAGAACTGGGAATCCACCTCCGAGATGGGAGCCACGACATCCAGCAGTATCTGGTCCAGCGCGAGCTTTCTCTTCCCCGAAGATTTTCCCCACAGCTGCTGTTCAATCCTGGTCTCAGCCTGTCGAACCCTGGTGACCACAGCCGAGGTATGAAACTCGGCCGAAGGGGATACAGCTGCGCAGAGGCCTCCAAAAAGCATAGGAACGAGAACGAGACTGTAAAGGTTAGCCATCATGCATGCCAACACAACACAAGCCCCACCCATTGCGCGATCATCCGTCTAGCTGTATATACACGTTTTGCGCATGCGTGATAAAGATACCGATAACGTCCCAAAAAACCTAAGCCAAACAATCTTACGTTTTTTCCTCTCCCATCTTGTCTGCTCAGCCGTCAGGAACATTGGTCTGGACCCATGTTCTATTTATTATGTGGTTGAGACTAGCATCTCAAATTGGCATTTGCACGCACATAATTATGTGTCTTACACATGGACACAGAAACAAAATGGCTTAGAATGCAAGCTATGATACAAAACCTTATCATTGCTGCAGTTAGTGGCTCTTTTTATTTTTATTACATCACGTACAAGCAGGTATTTTAGTGTCCCTGAAGACAACAAAACCAAAGGAGATGCTGGGAACAGAGAGGGAGGAGCCAGGAGAGTCTTCAGCTGGGACCAGGTGGGGCAAGTCCCTGTTGTCCACCAGCTCCAGTAGCACTCCATTCAGGAGGACTGAGGTGGAGGTGAGGTCCCCAGCTGGTGGACTCAGCCAGAACACATCCCTGTAACTGGAGGCCAGGTCCTCATTGAGGAGCTCTGCTGTTGCCGTGGTGAAGTTTGTGTTCAGTAGCAACAGAACAACACTGCCTGCCGGGTACCTGGAGCACAATAAACAGTAGTATACATACACACATAAGTACAGCAAGCTGTCTTACGGAGCTTTAGCACAGTGGGCATAGACTCTGAGGTATCGTCCATATTCCAAACTGCCATTAACGTACACAACTTTGGTTCCAACCAACTTCTTGTACAGTAGAGACAACCAATAGTCCTTCAACAATCACGACAAACATAAAATACGGCATAAATATTTTCGTACAACTTACAGGTAATGGGTTTTGGTTTGCATCTAACAATGCAAAGTACCCACCAATAAAATCATGTCGAAACACTCGTTTGTGACCAACAACTGCTGCTATACCTAGCTTGTCCAGCCACCTGAAGGGAGAAGGAATAGAAGATAACCAGAGGGGTTATGCACTCCATAAAACTTACAGGAATCCAGCAACATAGGTGTTTGATAAATTTGGAGCACCACTGCCATAGAAACTGGATGTCTCTCCCAGCCATAAATCGGCCTGTGGTTGCAGAGCCTCTGTTGAGGCCTGGAAATATACTGCAACATGAATAAGGCTGTCTAGAAGGTTGACATCATAGCATTGAGGCAGCTTGGCTGTGCTCCCATTCCCATAGTACCTGTAGAGAGTATGAGACAACACTTAGAAAAAGATCGGCAAAATAAACGTTTGCCAAGGGATCATCATGGCTAATAATGGCCTCACAGATATTTAGCTCCTAAAGTCTGGTTTTTGTACCTGTTGCCTAGTTTTTGTACATTGCCACTGAAGATGGTGGCAGTTAAGCGACTGAAGTGTTTGGCAAAATGGTAATATATTTATCTTTGCACATCTAGTGTTTGTATTAGAAAAACAACTATCTTAAGCTGTACACAATGGCAACACAGACCTATATCGGCTGTAGTAATAACTGTCGGTGTGCATATCACAGTGCTTTATGGGTAAGCCTAACATAGCTACTATGTTTAGTAAAAAAACCCTTGCATGACAGACCAGAAACCACGAAAATATGTTATTCCCGAGACTAATTATTAATAATGGCCCTGGCTGCAGGGTCAAAAATGAATTTCGGTGTTTACTGATGGTAGGTGGTGGCACTGAGGAGTCCCTGTGGTAGACTCTGTATAAACCTACAAAAATTGAAAAAAGGAGGCAAAAAGGATATCGTAGATACAACATACTCTGTGAAGTAGTCCATTTTGTATGCTACATCAGGTCCAATGAGCATCTTCCCCAGTGTCTTCTCCTCTGCCACCAGATCCCGCAGAGTCAAGAAGTCTTTGGCATGGTCCTCAGCTGGTATTGCTGTCCCCCACATATCTGGCTCTGCAAAAAAGTAATATAGTATTATCGCTGATTCTGTTTGTAACTACACCCACCAGTCGCGCACCATTTCCAAGCTCCCACTGGACGGTATAGTTTTCTGGAGGTAGAGTATGAGAGAAGCATTCTGGCATTGTCAGAGTCCCAAGAGCCATTGGGGTAAGGTGTACGAAGGAGAGCATTCAGACCAAACACAAAGTCCCAGCCAACAGTCTCCACAAACTTGTTGACTTCATCCCACTGCTGCGGAGTCATCGTGAAGTTTGACTGTTGCACTGGAAGATATAAAATTATGTGTAAAAGTGTTTGAATCACCAACCTAGCTAAGCTCCTGCTAACGTGATTTGTGATTTTAGTTACCTGTTTCCGCAGTAGAGGAGTTGAAGATGAGGTAATCTCCACTGGTACCTCCGACCCGCAGCATGGCAGGAGCCAGTCCTCGGGCCATGTTGATGATCCGCTGGGCAGTGAACGTTATTCCAGACCAGTTCCTAGAGATGTCACCCGAGTCTATCGTAACTGAGAGGAACTGGGGATCCACCTCCGATATGGGAGCAACGACATCCAGCAGTATCTGGTCCAGCGCGAGCTTTTTCGTCCCTGAAGACTTTCGCTGCAGCTGCTGCTCAATCCTGGTCTCAGCCTGTCGAACCCTGGTGACCACAGCGGAGTCTGGGTAGCTCTCCTGTATCTGGTTTAGAGGGGACGCTGCTGCGTAGCAGAGGCCTCCACATAGCACAAGAAGAGACAGGAAGGAACTGGGAACAACAGCCATAGCTCAGTGTTGAACACGCGATCTCTGGCACACGGGGGAACCCCCAAATACAACCACAACAACAAGCCCTTCCCACTACCCTCTCAGCCACGCCTTTCCTGGGCTACTTTAGCGCATGCGCGCATTACTACGCATTAAACACCTATATAGGATGACAATCAAAGACTGAACCCTATACAGCTCTATAGCTCGGTTCTTTCCCGGTTGTTCTTAGGAAGGACTGCGTCTTCAAATCCAAAGAACTCTGTCGGACGATGGTGGACGTCTCTCTCCCTCTTTACAAAGGCTGTGAACGACGAGACACAGTTGCCAATGAAGTTGTCTGCTCTGCCCATAACTGCTAGGTCAAGGGGTGCATCTGATGGGTTCAGATAGTGCACATTCATCTGCATGTGGAGTGGAGGAGTACACAGTTAGACAGATATACATGCTATGTAGAAGGTTTCAAATTTTAGGTACATACAACTAACACAGTTGACCTGGCAAACCAGCAAGAGTCACACTCAGTGGTATAGACAATTGCATAGTGATTCCGTTTCGTGCGAAAGTATTATGTAGCTGTGTGACAGTGGCAGTGCATTCAGAAAAAAATGAAGAAGTCGTGCACAGACGAATAAGTACTGCTTTACTATCAAGTTTAATATTTATCTGTAAGACCTACAATAAACTCACAATGGGGTTTGTTCTTCGTATAAGACTAAGTTTTGAGTCACGAAATCATAAAATGGTCCCTGTCAGATTTACATTACATGCTTTTCTGCCAAGCAGTTGCAGATTCTTCCTTTTACGTTTCAAACCAGCTCTAATAAACAAAAAAATCTCTTACACTAGGTCCCAGTTTCTTCTTGATGTAGGAGAGTCTGGGGTCCACATCACTGGCAATAAACACGTGGTGGATGTCAGTACTGTCGGCCAGGGTCTTGACACGTCGGGCTATCTGCTCGTGAGTCTGGAGGCACATCTCCTGGGTGATGGTGCCTCCTGAGACATCCTCCAGACACTGGTCTGACTCCATGAACGACTGCATGCCTACAGCACGCTCACATGCCTTCTCCTGCAGGTACATACATCATACTTGTACTTACAAGTAAAGATCAGGTTTTACTGTTATCGAACCAACTAGCTTATGGAAAAACCAACAGCATAATTATTAAGGTCAAAAAAGTGGCACTTGTGTATATTATATGGAGAAATAATTGAGGAAATCTGCCTAATACA